ACATATAACAAAACTATGATAACTGCTGTGTATAGAAGAACATATAACAAAACTATGATAACTGCTGTGTATAGAAGAACATATAACAAAACTATGATAACTGCTGTGTATAGAAGAACATATAACAAAACTATGATAACTGCTGTGTATAGAAGAACATATAACAAAACTATGATACCTGCTGTGTATAGAAGAACATATAACAAAACCTTTATGATAACTGCTGTGTATAGAAGAACATATAACAAAACCTTTATGATAACTGCTGTGTATAGAAGAACATATAACAAAACCTTTATGATAACTGCTGTGTATAGGAGAACATATAACAAAACCTTTATGATACCTGCTGTGTATAGAAGAACATATAACAAAACCTTTATGATAACTGCTGTGTATAGAAGAACATATAACAAAACCTTTATGATAACTGCTGTGTATAGAAGAACATATAACAAAACCTTTATGATAACTGCTGTGTATAGGAGAACATATAACAAAACCTTTATGATACCTGCTGTGTATAGAAGAACATAAAACAAAACCTTTATGACACCTGCTGTGTATAGAAGAACATATAACAAAACCTTTATGATAACTGCTGTGTATAGAAGAACATATAACAAAACTATGATACCTGCTGTGTATAGAAGAACATATAACAAAACTAGGATAACTGCTGTGTTTAGAAGAACATATAACAAAACCTTTATGATAACTGCTGTGTATAGAAGAACATATAACAAAACCTTTATGATAACTGCTGTGTATAGGAGAACATATAACAAAACCTTTATGATACCTGCTGTGTTTAGAAGAACATATAACAAAACCTTTATGATAACTGCTGTGTATAGAAGAACATATAACAAAACTAGGATACCTGCTGTGTATAGAAGAACATATAACAAAACTAGGATACCTGCTGTGTATAGAAGAACATATAACAAAACTATGATACCTGCTGTGTATAGAAGAACATATAACACTAAACTATGATAACAAAACTGCTGTGTATAGAAGAACACCATATAACAAAACTAGGATACCTGCTGTGTATAGAAGAACATATAACAAAACTATGATACCTGCTGTGTATAGAAGAACATATAACAAAACTATGATACCTGCTGTGTATAGAAGAACATATAACAAAACTATGATACCTGCTGTGTATAGAAGAACATATAACAAAACTATGATACCTGCTGTGTATAGAAGAACATATAACAAAACTATGATAACTGCTGTGTATAGAAGAACATATAACAAAACCTTTATGATAACTGCTGTGTATAGAAGAACATATAACAAAAACTATGATAACTGCTGTGTATAGAAGATAACTGCTGTGATACCTGCTGTGTATAGAAGAACATATAACAAAACTATGATACCTGCTGTGTATAGAAGAACATATAACAAAACTATGATACCTGCTGTGTATAGAAGAACATATAACAAAACTATGATACCTGCTGTGTATAGAAGAACATATAACAAAACTATGATACCTGCTGTGTATAGAAGAACATATAACAAAACTATGATACCTGCTGTGTATAGAAGAACATATAACAAAACTATGATACCTGCTGTGTATAGAAGAACATATAACAAAACTATGATACCTGCTGTGTATAGAAGAACATATAACAAAAACTATGATACCTGCTGTGTATAGAAGAACATATAACAAAACTTTATGATACCTGCTGTGTATAGAAGAACATATAACAAAACTATGATACCTGCTGTGTATAGAAGAACATATAACAAAACTATGATACCTGCTGTGTATAGAAGAACATATAACAAAAACTATGATACCTGCTGTGTATAGAAGAACATATAACAAAAACTTTATGATACCTGCTGTGTATAGAAGAACATATAACAAAACCTTTATGATAACTGCTGTGTATAGAAGAACACATAACAAAACTTTATGATAACTGCTGTGTATAGATGATAACAAAACTGATACCTGCTGTGTATAGAAGAACATATAACAAAACTTTATGATACCTGCTGTGTATAGAAGAACATATAACAAAACCTTTATGATAACTGCTGTGTATAGAAGAACATATAACAAAACCTTTATGATAACTGCTGTGTATAGAAGAACATATAACAAAACCTTTATGATAACTGCTGTGTATAGAAGAACATATAACAAAACTATGATACCTGCTGTGTATAGAAGAACATATAACAAAACCTTTATGATAACTGCTGTGTATAGAAGAACATATAACAAAACCTTTATGATAACTGCTGTGTATAGAAGAACATATAACAAAACCTTTATGATAACTGCTGTGTATAGAAGAACATATAACAAAACCTTTATGATAACAAAACTGCTGTGTATAGAAGAACATATAACAAAACCTTTATGATAACTGCTGTGTATAGAAGAACATATAACAAAACCTTTATGATAACTGCTGTGTATAGAAGAACATATAACAAAACCTTTATGATAACTGCTGTGTATAGATAACAAAACTTTATGATAACTGCTGTGTATAGAAGAACATATAACAAAACCTTTATGATAACTGCTGTGTGTATAGAAGAACATATAACAAAAAACCTTTATGATAACTGCTGTGTATAGAAGAACATATAACAAAACTTTATGATAACTGCTGTGTGTATAGAAGAACATAAACTTTATGAAACCTGTGTATGAACAAAACTTTATGATAACTGCTGTGTATAGAAGAACATATAACAAAACCTTTATGATAACTGCTGTGTATAGAAGAACATATAACAAAACCTTTATGATAACTGCTGTGTATAGAAGAACATATAACAAAACCTTTATGATAACTGCTGTGTATAGAAGAACATATAACAAAACCTTTATGATAACTGCTGTGTATAGAAGAACATATAACAAAACCTTTATGATAACTGCTGTGTATAGAAGAACATATAACAAAACCTTTATGATAACTGCTGTGTATAGAAGAACATATAACAAAACCTTTATGATAACTGCTGTGTATAGAAGAACATATAACAAAACCTTTATGATAACTGCTGTGTATAGAAGAACATATAACAAAAACTTTATGATAACTGCTGTGTATAGAAGAACATATAACAAAACCTTATGATAACTGCTGTGTATAGAAGAACATATAACAAAACCTTTATGATAACTGCTGTGTATAGAAGAACATATAACAAAACCTTTATGATAACTGCTGTGTATAGAAGAACATATAACAAAACCTTTATGATAACTGCTGTGTATAGAAGAACATATAACAAAACCTTTATGATAACTGCTGTGTATAGAAGAACATATAACAAAACCTTTATGATAACTGCTGTGTATAGAAGAACACATAACAAAACCTTTATGATAACTGCTGTGTATAGAATAACATATAACAAAACCTTTATGATACCTGCTGTGTATAGAAGAACATATAACAAAACTATGATACCTGCTGTGTATAGAAGAACATATAACAAAACTAGGATACCTGCTGTGTATAGAAGAACATATAACAAAACTATGATACCTGCTGTGTATAGAAGAACATATAACAAAACTATGATACCTGCTGTGTATAGAAGAACATATAACAAAACTATGATACCTGCTGTATAGAAGAACATATAACAAAACTATGATAACTGCTGTGTATAGAAGAACATATAACAAAACTATGATAACTGCTGTGTATAGAAGAACATATAACAAAACTAGGATAACTGCTGTGTATAGAAGAACATATAACAAAACTAGGATACCTGCTGTGTATAGAAGAACATATAACAAAACTAGGATACCTGCTGTGTATAGAAGAACATATAACAAAACTATGATACCTGCTGTGTATAGAAGAACATATAACAAAACTATGATACCTGCTGTGTATAGAAGAACATATAACAAAACTATGATACCTGCTGTGTATAGAAGAACATATAACAAAACTATGATACCTGCTGTGTATAGAAGAACATATAACAAAACTATGATACCTGCTGTGTATAGAAGAACATATAACAAAACTATGATACCTGCTGTGTATAGAAGAACATATAACAAAACTATGATAACTGCTGTGTATAGAAGAACATATAACAAAACTATGATACCTGCTGTGTATAGAAGAACATATAACAAAACTAGGATACCTGCTGTGTATAGAAGAACATATAACAAAACTAGGATAACTGCTGTGTATAGAATAACATATAACAAAACTATGATAACTGCTGTGTATAGAATAACATATAACAAAACCTTTATGATAACTGCTGTGTATAGAATAACATATAACAAAACCTTTATGATACCTGCTGTGTATAGAAGAACATATAACAAAACTATGATACCTGCTGTGTATAGAAGAACATATAACAAAACCTTTATGATACCTGCTGTGTATAGAAGAACATATAACAAAACCTTTATGATAACTGCTGTGTATAGAAGAACATATAACAAAACTATGATAACTGCTGTGTGTAGGAGAACATATAACTACAGAACTATACAAAAGCAGAAGAAAAATGATGCATAGACAGCAGCAAGTATGCACCAAAGAAATAAAGAAGACATGCTAACAAGGCAATATATCTGGCCTTGGAACGCAAGGTTTGGCCCATGTCTTGTTACTCCTACCCTAGTGCAAATGTTTGTTTAGAGAAGGGATCATCCATCAGGGGCTAAGCAACAGACACCAGTTAGATCCATAAACTTTGACCTTAACTGCATAAGTATATGCATGTATAGACATACATCTGATAGGAGGTGAGGGAAGCATGATGTTAGTACAAGCTCACGAAACAAGTTCATATTGATACCGGTACCAGGCCATGCGGAAAGTCTACGTTGCTGAGGTATCTTGAGCAGATTTTCTCCTACAATCAATGAGCGGATTATAATCATGTGTTCTGTTTGTCTAAGGCCTTGAGGCCAGGCTGCATAATCTAATGAATATTTATGTCTTCCAGAATGTTAGAGCAGAAGCTACCCGCCCTCCCAGAGGAAAGTCTACAAAACAATATCCTTTGCAACATGTGTCATTATTTTGCTTGTTGTTGTTGTTTTGGTCAAGGGCAACTTTTATTGCACAAAGTTATCTCCATAAATTCTCATCTCCTTCCATAATTTTACAAGACTGTACCTGCCAGAGAACGGTAACATAATTTAACTCTTTGAGTACCAAGCAACTTACTATGAGTTTCTTGGTCACTCCAAAGACTGTTCTTGTATTCTTCTGTATCATACAACTGCTACCCCAGCTCAATGTATCCAGATTGTCATTTTAATCCCTTCTGTGTCTCTTGTGTAAATTCTAAGGGCTTGAACATTCAACACTTTTAAATACTGCTTAGAATAGAACAAGATTGTTGCTGTTAAAGTGCAGGCTTTTTAAATGAAAGAGCTCTTCCTAAAATGTCTGGGCAGTTATTAGCCAGGGTTGGATACCTGGCCAACTGTAGCCACATTTGTTTACGACGGATTCCAGAAGAGACAGGAGATGGCGGTGACGAGTGGCAACTCTTGATCTTGAGGATGCCTACAATAGTCAGATATGATATTTTGATGTCTGCGCTCATGGAGAAGGGGGGTTTGTCCCTGGCTGGTCAACTGGTCAGCGCCGTCATGTATTCTCGTAAAGTTACCCTCTACCTTGGAACATGGACCTCAGAAGAATCGCTCCGAGATTACCCCAGGGTTCTGTAATTTCGCCAGTGCTCTTCAGTGTGTACACAAGCAAGATTGCAGAACTTGAAGCACCAGGTGTTGGAAGGATATTAACATTTGCCGATGATGTTCTTGCTTATATGCAGGTGAGTGACAGGCAACAGACAGCCCAAGAGCTGCAGGTGACTATAGACAAAGTGACTGACTGGTGTGCAGAGATGAGTGATGTCATTAACCCAGAAAAGGCGGCTGCTTTATGGTGCTCTCTGGACAGTAGAATTGTAAGAGCTTATATGCCAAACCTTACAATTAATAATAGAAACATCAAAAGAGAAAGCCGACTGAGGTACCTGGGAATTACTTTCACTTTCGATCGAAGCCTGTCCCTCAGGGATTATGTGGAGGCAGTTGCAGCAAAATGCTAATAGGATTCAATGCACTTAAGGTTATGGCAGCAATGGACATGATACAAAGAATATTTTTTACAATGTCCCAGCATGTGATCCTGTCGGTTATAGATTATGGTACGCCATGGTTGCCCCCAATTTCCACGGTACTTTATTAATATTCTGGTAATTTTCCACAAATTACTCAGCATTCATTGCTTGGGTTCCCTGTGTGGATTCCGGGGCCCTATTATAGGGAAAACAAGAATAGAACCACCGCCTACCCAAAAGCATGTCGTAAGAATCAACTAATTGGGAGCTTCCTTCGAAGTCAGAATGCATCTGTCTGAGAGGCAAGGAACCAGCAGTCTGCACACAAATGAGTCATCTGTAAAACGGATGCACACGCAACACTCAAATTTTGGAACGGGGCTGCAGTCCAGAAGTGGATAAACAACCAGAACTTTCCGCCAGAGTTTACAGCTGATGACCACAAAGAAGAAGAAGAAGATTGCTCGGGTGTTTTTAATAATTTATAATTTAATTGTCTTTTGGGTGCAGAATGTAAGTTTGGACTTTGTATATTAAGAATCAACATTTGGGGGCTTGATTTTTCTTAACTGTTGTCAAGTTGGTCAGCACGCCGGACTTTGCCTTCCAGAAAACTCAGCCCAGAGTCAAATCTGCTGCCAGCGCAGACAGTGGTAAGGTTACTTCAGAGCTGTCTGTTCCCGTTTTAAGTTACATATGGAAAATAAACTTTATATTGTAAGAACTTGTAAGATTGCTTCGGTGCTGTCTGTTCCCCTGTTTTAAGTTACAAAGGGAAAACAAACTTTATGTTGTAAGAACTTGTAAGATTGCTTCGGTGCTGTCTGTTCTTCTATTTTAAGCTACACATAGGAAATGAGCTGTATGTTGTAAGAACGGGTGAGATTGCTTCGGTAAAGTAACCTTTACACGACCTTTTTCCACATCTGCAGGCATTCTGGGCATTTGGGTTGTTAGCCTTATGTTTGCAGAGACCAGCAATCACCTGATAGGTTGTGTGGTCAGAATCCTGCTCACTGCCTTAACTTTCAGGAGCGTTTCCTGGGAGGTCATGGCCTAGTTGTTAGAATGAGGACTCACACTTTGCAGCACATCTATTTTACAGGTCTGGCCTATTTGGTTGCATGTTGCAGATTCCTTGTCTCTCAGGCAGATGCCCTCTCTCAGGCTGATGTGCTCTCAGGCAGATGCTCTCTCTCAGGCAGTTGCCCTCTCTCAGGCAGATGTGCTCTCTCTCAGGCAGATGCCCTCTCTCAGGCAGATGCTCTCTCTCAGGCAGATGCACTCTCTCTCAGGCAGATGCACTCTCTCTCAGGCAGATGCTCTCTCTCTCAGGCAGGAAGTTATGGAGAGTGATCTGAATACTTAATTGAGCTGCTGGCTATGTTCATACCTATGTACCGGCAATGATACAAATGCTGTCATGATATTTGACATTTTACCTCTTACTGTTTCCATCTGAGAAGTTTTCTTTGTTGGCTGTTTACAGCTTGTGGTCGATGATCATGAAAACTAGTCAACTTGAACTGGTATAACAAGACAAGATTGATGTAAGTCTGACAATATTTTTCTGTCTGCAGGCGATGACGAAGATAGTGAGTACTTGGATCGCTCCGCTGAGATAAGTGAAATTGATGAAAGACTGGATCGACTGCAACAGTTAATGAAAGCCACTATGCCGTGACCAATCATTGAGCCTGGAGATATTTCATTCACTAGACATTTATCGACAACTGCCACCCCTGTTAAGATTTAGAGAAATCTTTCAGTGCAAACAGTATTGGTTGCAGACAGTTTCTAAGTGGTTGTACAAGATTATGTTTTAGTGTAACCTTAAAAATAATAGAGAGACACCAGGGATTATTTTAAAGCAAGGTCATAATGGATAGAATACAATGTGAAGAGTTTTATCCAGCCAGTTATATTTCTTAAATGCTGGGTGTCACTTGTCAGCATGTGGGGATATCATTTCTTAAATGCTAGGTGTCACTTGTCAACGTGTGGGGCTGTCATTTCTTAAATGCTGGGTGTCACTTGTCAACGTGTGGTGCTGTCATTTCTTAAATGGTGGTGTCACTTGTCAGTGTGTGGGGCTGTCATTTCTTAAATGCTGGTGTCACTTGTCAGCATGTGGGGCTGTCATTTCTTAAATGCTGGGTGTCACTTGTCAACGTGTGGGGCTGTCATTTCTTAAATGCTTGGTGTCACTTGTCAACGTGTGGGGCTGTCATTTCTTAAATGCTGGTGTCACTTGTCAACGTGTGGGGCTGCCATTTCTTAAATGCTTGGTGTCACTTAACGTGTGGGGCTGTCATTTCTTAAATGCTGGTGTCACTTGTCAACGTGTGAGGCTGCCATTTCTTAAATGCTGGGTGTCACTTGTCAACATGTGGGGCTGTCATTTCTTAAATGCTGGGTGTCACTTGTCAACGTGTGGGGCTGTCATTTCTTAAATGGTGGGTGTCACTTGTCAACGTGTGGGGCTGTCATTTCTTAAATGCTAGGTGTCACTTGTCAACGTGTGGGGCTGTCATTTCTTAAATGGTGGGTGTCACTTGTCAACGTGTGGGGCTGTCATTTCTTAAATGCTGGGTGTCACTTGTCAACGTGTGGGACTGTCATTTCTTAAATGCTGGTATCGCTTGTCAACGTGTGGGGCTGTCAGGCTCAAGTGTAAAAATTATACAGATTTGCTGACACTAGAGACTACAGTATAGTGATGCTGTCGTAAAAACATGGATGGAATTTAAATGCAATGATTATAGTCAAGATTATGCTTTTTATTGATTAGGGTAAGACACTGATTATAGATATAATTAAAAAAAATAATAATAGAGAATTAATTTAAAAATTTGAAGGCAAAGATGTTTAAAAGATTAAGATTATTGACAAATGATGTACGTTTTGTTTTAAACTGAATAATGTTTACAGAATGAATTGATAAAGATTTAATAGAAAATAATGAGCCTTGGTTTATGCCCTCCTCCCCACCCCCCCCCGCCCCCCCCCCCCCCCCCCCCCCCCCCCTCCCCCCCCCCCCCCCCCCCCCTCCTGATTTGAAAGCAAAATGTTAGCCATCTAATTAATAGCTATTACAAAGTCTGTACGCATACATGACCCAAGGGAGTGTGGGCAGTATTAAAATACTGAAGATATCAATTGCAAAATTTCATTGAAGCAAAGCTGTTATAACTGGCTACCATGTATAAATGACTACCTAAATCGTGTTTGTGTGTGATATGCCTAAAAATGCCACAGATTTTGCTAAAAATCGTGTGTGTGTATGAGTGATTATGTTTAAAACTGCCACAAATGTTGCCAAAAATCGCAGCAACTTATCTTACTTTAAAGACCAGAAAAAGCGTTTTGTTTGGGAGTCCAGGATCGGGGCGTCATTAATCATACTACCTAAACCAGGTGTGTGGTTATGCCTACAACTGTCGCTCAAAGTCCTAGCAACTTGAAAACTGACTTTTAAAGACCAAACAGATTATTATTATTGTTTGGAAAAGGGGGGGGTGGGGGGTGTCCAGCATTAAGGAGTCTGTTATCATGACTAGTAACTCTCTTATAAAAATGTTATGTTTTCTCTTAAGCTTTTTAATTATTTCCAATGTAATTACTTAGTACATTTATAGTTGTAACGAAAAAAAAAGAAAATTGGTTAAAATAATTATCACCTTATAGGAAAACTCAGACATGTCTAGCACTGAAGACTGAAGAATGGAATAATCAGAGAACTTCACAACAGCCACAGGCTGAAATATTTGGTGATGATTAATCTTTTCTGTTGCAGCAGTACAGAATTGTTTAAGTGGGTTGTTGCTGGTATTGGCTTTGTATTTTTGGTGCTGTGACCAGGAGTCAAGATCTGAATAGGCCAATTTTGAAGATTCATTCAACTTTTCCCCTCCAAGTTTTATATAAAAAATATTACAAGTCTGTTTTCATGGAAATTTATGTATGTGTGTATGCTTAGATTGACATTATTTCAATGAATATTTATGTACATATATTTCTGGTAAATTTTCTTGTTTTATGTAAATAAAAGGAAATAATCATGTTTAAAGCCTCATTGTTTGAACTAAAGAATTTGGTAGAGACAAGGTGGGCTGCAATTATTGCACAAAGAATGCAACTGTTGTAGAATTGCTGCTCTGTTGTTAAATTGTTGGTTATCTGCTGTATTATTGGCGCTCTGCTTTTTTGTTATTGCCAACCCTAGAGATTTGATCCCAAAACCACCAGGCACATGTAATAAGCCACTGTAATGGTGTGGCACCCAAGTGACATTACAAGTTTATTACAATTCATCTAAATTCTTATTCTGAAAACTTTATTTCACTTTCAAATGAAAGTAGTTCAGGCAACTCATAAACAGAGAAGGTATGAATAGCACACACGTAAGTAAGTAAAAATAGTAAAGGACCCTTTCCACGCCTTTAGGCATATAGGGCTAGACCTATATTTTTATAGACCAACGGCACAAGATGGGTGATGTGGTCAGCATCACGCCGGCCGCCTCTACTTCCCAGGATTGCACCCGGTACCCACTCAAGGCTGGGTCGACCTGGGAGCCAAGGTCATTTTTGAAGAAAAGTCCGTCTCCGCCAGGGAGCGAACCCACGACCTTCCGATCCGCAGTGCGCGTCTAGCCGCTCTGCCACGGCGACTCCCAGCACACACACAAATACCTCATTGCCTCAGAAAAATTACAACAGGGGACAGAACTCTGATTTCATCTCAGTCTGGTGATTGTGTGAGACAGAGAATTATTTATTATAACTCGTGTTCACTAGCATGTGATGATGGGTGACTTTATAAGATCCACTGATCAGTTCCCTTGCTCAGTCGCGCTGGCACATACTAGCAGGAAAGTAGAGACATGGTATACTGAGGCCCTTGGACTTCTCTAAGTCAGAAGACAGCCAACCACTGATCAGTTCCCTTGCTCAGTCGCACTGGCACATACTAGCAGGAAAGTAGAGACATGGTGTACTGAGGCCCTTGGACTTCTCTAAGTCAGAAGACAGCCAACCACTGATCAGTTCCCTTGCTCAGTCGCACTGGCACATACTAGCAGGAAAGTAGAGACGGTATACTGAAGCCCTTGGACTTCTCTAAGTCAGAAGACAGCCAACCACTGATCAGTTCCCTTGCTCAGTCGCGCTGGCACATACTAGCAGGAAAGTAGAGACATGGTATACTGAAGCCCTTGGACTTCTCTAAGTCAGAAGACAGCCAACCACAGAGCAGTTCCATTGCTCAGTCCCACTGGCACATACTAGCAGGAAAGTAGAGACGGTATACTGAAGCCCTTGGACTCTTAAGTCAGAAGACAGCCAACCACTGATCAGTTCCATTGCTCAGTCCCACTGGCACATACTAGCAGGAAAGTAGAGACATGGTATACTGGAGCCTTTTCATGATTGGACAGAAGACAGCCAACCACAGAGCAGTTCAGTTCAAGAAGAACTTTGTCGTTGGAAGAGCTAACACATGACCATGACCTTGCTGAAGACCTTTGGGAGAACTGGGTCAGTGTAAAGCTGCTTGCAAGTCACATGACCTGCTGTGTTTGCCAGGTTCTTGCACTGAGGACATGTCTAGACTTGCTTTGTGAAAGAAAATAAAGAATCCTCATATTCAACCCATTTCCCTTAAGGGGGAGCTTTAGGTTATAATTGTGACTAGGTTATGTGCGCTATATAAAATGGCTTAACATTGCTCGCCATCAGGTAGCCCTGAAAAGGACTTTTGCAGTGTTGATGCAATCAAAGGAGACACCTGGTCAGCCAATGGGTGACTCGGTCACCTATGCAAAAACATGTCTCTTCGTGCGTGAGAGACAGGTAATACAACCACTTGCTTCTCTGTTTTATCACCCTTTTCCCAATTTAGTCACATTCTGGCTTAGATAGCAACTCACATCTCTTTAACATGTCACCTGCTCTGCTTGACCACCCACTTCTCAGGTCACTCAACATCTCTATTTGGCCACCTGCTTTGCATTCCACTTCACACACATATAGACATCCTTCCCACTCAACCACCCACTGTGCTCTGCAGTTAACTTCATGCACCCTCAATCCACTCAGCCCACATTCTGTCCTCTCATCCCTTTACATACTCTCTACATTTAAGCTTCCCGCCTATCTATGCATTCTGTATAGCCATCTGCCTTGCAACAGACACAAAACCATCTTCATGCTAAACAGAGAGATAACTGCAGATTTATGCTTCTATTGTCTTCAGTGACCCAACTAAACATATATGATCCACACAATTACTGAATAAATCTTCCATTTTCCATCCTATCGTTCAAGTCTCAAACATCAGTGCAGGAAATGTTTATTGTTGCAACACCTGATATTGTCAGTAACAAAAGCAAAGAGCACGCACTGGCTGTCATGTTGGAGTCAGCGATGAGGTAGCAGGGGACACAACCAAACAGGTTGTTCCCCCTTTTGTTTGGTGTAAGTTCGATCAGGCAAAGTTAGGCAGAGAATAAAGCAAAACCAAAAACACACACATATATCTCGTCATCTGAGAACAACATCTGTTTACATGATATCCCATAATCTGATAAGAGCATCTGCTTACATGTTATAAGTCTGAAATGTTAACATACAAAAAGCCTATAGTGACAAAGAGTCAGAATATGAAATGAAAACAAGCGGATAATTTCTTGTGACTATTCCAGAAGAAGACTCGCCATCATCATCAGGTGTCATGCCAATAAGTGTAGGTAGTCTAAATTTTTATTTCATGTAATTGCCAAAGTCACAGATCAAGTCTATGTTCTTGTCTCACTTATGCCACGTAGTCAAGCCATGCAGGTATTTTATCTCTTTGCCCCATCAACTTTGTCTGCTGTTACAAATGTTCAGATTCATTTCTCTTCATAACCTGCCCAAAGGGAGCCATTGTGGTGAAAAGGCTAGAGGTTAATGCTCACCTCAGGCCCGAAGGTCCTGGGTTCAAATCTGCATCGAGCCGGATTTGTTCAAAAATGACCCTGGCTCCCAGGCTGATTCAGCCTCAAATAGGAACAAGGCAAAGTCCTGGGAAGTAAAGGCAGCGATGTGATGTTGGCCACATCATCCACTGAAAGCTGACTGGTTTAGAAAATATAGGTCTAGCCTTTTATGCCCAAAACGCCGGCAAGCGTGGAAATGGGTCCCTTTACCTGCCAACAGGGTTCCCCACTGTCAACACCTTCTCATTCTTCTTATCAGTTTAAAATTTGTTTCTGTTTATGGGAGCTCTATCTTATTTGTTTGCCTGTTTAGAGTATTTCTGTTTTCCATTATTTCCACGGCCGATAGACGTTTCTCAGCTTGAGAATTAGCCCAACTTTATTTATTGTGACTGTACTTTTCCAGTGCAATAAATGTCAGAACATATAATTACTTATAAAACATATTTTATGTAATCTTTGGTGACAGAGGACCGCTAATCTGTTTTCCGGTGACAGAAGAGTTACACAAAATGTGTGCATAATGATGAAGGTGAAAAAAAACAGAAATAATCCCAGAAAAGTAGACAGCCCAGAAGCCAGTCAAAGAATCTCAGGAATACTGGGGGGGGGGGGGGGGGGGGGGGGAACAAGGAATGGAACAGCTGCAGCTGGAATGTGCCAGACTCTTGAACTAACTACAGCAGAGTGGAAATGGCAGTTCTTCAGGCAGTCACTGACAAACTTGTTGCTTAAATACAGCAAAATATATATTTGTATATTTACCTATCCATTTATCTGTCAGTCCATCCACCCATCAATCTGTCTATGAATATAACATGCTTGTTCATAAAATTACACTGGGAGTGTCAAAGATGAGTGTCTGAAAAGGCAAAAGTGTAAAAATAAAGTTTGTTCGTTCGATCTATCTGTGTCAAGTTTGTAGGTTCTATCTACCTATCAATCAATCTATCTATCAGTCTGTCTATCTATCTATTGGTCTGTCTATCTATCTATTGGTCTGTCTATCTATCTATCTATCTATCTATCTATCTATCTATCTATCTATCTATCTATCTATCTATCTGTCTGTCTGTCTGTCTGTCTGTCTGTCCGTCCGTCCGTCCGTCCGTCCGTCCGTCCGTCCGTCCGTCCGTCTGTCTGTCTGTCTGTCTGTCTATCCGTCCGTCTATCCATCCATCCATCTATTTATATATGAAAAGGAAAGCAAGTATGTGGCTGGGACTGTGGAGAGCTGCTGAGGTGTACAGAAGGAAAGATCATTGTTTCAACTTCCTTTACAGAATTAACACATTTAAAAAAAAAAAATCATCCTGGGCTTCTAGGCCCATCCAGCTTAAAATTGGTCCAGGAAATAGGATGATCAAAAACCAAGTGGTCTTTAGAAATAAGGAGTTAGCATTACTTACTACATGTCCAATGAGCCTCAAGATATGGAAACTTACTTTTGAATGACTTGAACTTTTTTTTTTTTTAAATAAATGACAATATTTTTAAGGCAAAATCTTGAACATTAATGTCTTACATTATTAACTGTATAAAAATATTTAAAAAAAGATACAGTATGACAATTTATCATTCAACTGTGAGAAAATCTGGTATATAAACACAATATAAACAGAAATTCGAACTGGCAGGAAACAATGCTAAGAAATACAATAATAAAGCTTTTGAAAGAGCTTAAATAACTAGATCAAACACAATGACAGAGGTGATAAGCAACAATAAAAAATACAATAAAAAAACAAATCTGTTTAAACATTAAAAATTTTTTTAAAATGCCAGTCTATTAGTTGTAACAGACAACCAACAGATGAGTACATGTATATCACATATCAGATCTGTCTGTTTATTTCTCTGTTTCAAAAGCGACTCATAGACCTTGTCCAGGCTCTCACAAGACACTGTCCAGGCTCTCACAAGACACTGTCCAGCTCTCAAAAGACACTGTCCAGCTCTCAAAAGACATTGTCCAGGCTCTCACAAGACACTGTCTGATTCTCACAGGACACTGTCTTACTCTCACAAGACACTGTCATATTCTCACAAGACACTGTCCAGCTCTCACAAGACACTGTCCAGCTCTCACAAGACACTGTCCAGCTCTCACAAGACACTGTCCAGCTCTCACAAGACACTGTCTGACTCTCACAAGACACTGTCCAGCTCTCACAAGACACTGTCCAGCTCTCACAAGACACTGTCCAGCTCTCACAAGACACTGTCTGACTCTCACAAGACACTGTCCAGCTCTCAAAAGACTGTCTTACTCTCACAAGACACTGTCTTACTCTCACAAGACACTGTCTTACTCTCACAAGACACTGTCATATTCTCACAAGACACTGTCCAGCTCTCACAAGACACTGTCCAGCTCTCACAAGACACTGTCTGACTCTCACAAGACACTGTCCAGCTCTCACAAGACACTGTCTGATTCTCACAAGACACTGTCTGACTCTCACATTACACTGTCCAGCTCTCACAAGACACTGTCCAGCTCTCACAAGACACTGTCTGATTCTCACAAGACACTGTCTGATTCTCACAAGACACTGTCTGATTCTCACAAGACACTCCAGCTCTCACAAGACACTGTCTGATTCTCACAAGACACTCCAGCTCTCACAAGACACTGTCCAGCTCTCACAAGACACTCCAGCTCTCACAAGACACTCCAGCTCTCACAAGACACTCCAGCTCTCACAAGACACTCCAGCTCTCACAAGACACTCCAGCTCTCACAAGACACTCCAGCTCTCACAAGACACTCCAGCTCTCACAAGACACTCCAGCTCTCACAAGACACTGTCCAGCTCTCACAAGACACTCCAGCTCTCACAAGACACTCCAGCTCTCACAAGACACTCCAGCTCTCACAAGACACTCCAGCTCTCACAAGACACTCCAGCTCTCACAAGACACTCCAGCTCTCACAAGACACTCCAGCTCTCACAAGACACTCCAGCTCTCACAAGACACTCCAGCTCTCACAAGACACTCCAGCTCTCACAAGACACTCCAGCTCTCACAAGACACTCCAGCTCTCACAAGACACTCCAGCTCTCACAAGACACTCCAGCTCTCACAAGACACTGTCTGATTCTCACAAGACACTGTCTGATTCTCACAAGACACTGTCTGATTCTCACAAGACACTGTCTGATTCTCACAAGACACTCTGATTCTCACAAGACACTGTCTGATTCTCACAAGACACTGTCTGATTCTCACAAGACACTGTCTGATTCTCACAAGACACTGTCTGATTCTCACAAGACACTGTCTGATTCTCACAAGACACTGTCTGATTCTCACAAGACACTGTCTGATTCTCACAAGACACTGTCCAGCTCTCACAAGACACTGTCTGATTCTCACAAGACACTGTCTGACTCTCACAAGACACCATCTGATTCTCACAAGACACTGTCTGACTCTCACTAGACACTGTTCAGCTTTCCCAAAAACTGTCTATCTATCACAAGACACTGTCCAGCTCTCACAAGAAACTGTCTGACTCTCACTAGACACTGTTCAGCTTTCCCAAAAACTGTCTAGCTATCACAAGACACTGTCCAGCTCTCACAAGACACCATCTGATTCTCACAAGACACTTTCTGACTCTCACAAGAAATATCCAGCTACCACAAGACACTGTCCAGCTCTCATAAGAACTGTCCAGCTATCACAAAACACTGTCCAGCTCTAACAAGACACTGGTTAGCTCTCACAAGACACTCCAGCTATCACAAGACACTGTCTAACTCTCACAAGACACTGTTTAACTCTCACAAGACACTGTCTAACTCTCACAAGACACTCCAGCTCTCAAAAGACACTCCAGCTCTCACAAGAACTGTCCAGCTTTCATCACAAGACACTATCCTTCTCTCACAAGACACTGCCCAACTATCACAAGACACTGTCCAGCTATCACAAGACATTATCCAGCTCTCACAAGATGGCCAGCTTTCATCACAAGACACTGTCCACCTCTCACAAGACACTGTCAAGCTTTCATCACAAGAACTGTCCGGCTCTCACAAGACACTCAGACACTGTCCAGCTATCACAAGAACTGTCCAGCTTTCATCACAAGAACTGTCCGGCTCTCACAAGACACTCAGACACTGTCCACCTCTCACAAGACACTGTCAAGCTTTCATCACAAGAACTGTCCGGCTCTCACAAGACACTCAGACACTGTCCAGCTATCACAAGAATTGTCCAGCCTTCATCACAAGAACTGTCCAGCTTTCATCACAAGACACTGTCCAGCTTTCATCACAAGAACAGTCCACCTCTCACCAGACACTGTCCACCTCTCACCAGACACTGTCCACCTCTCACAACACAGGCTACTACTACATAATTCTCACAGCTTGTTTTAACAATGTCAGGCTGACACAACTTCCAGTGTCAGCCATTGCTGTAAGACTCGTACTTAGACATCAACGACTGGATCTCATTCTGAAAAAGACTCGTACTCAGACATCAACAACTGGATCTCATTCTGAGAAAGACTCATACTCAGACATCAACGACTGGATCTCATTCTGAGACTTCATGTCCTGTGTGAGAAACAGTCATGTATTAGAGAAAATACTTTCAGTCTCTTTGCTCGCATCAGTACAATACAAATTTACCACCACTATACAAACATACATACAAATTAAATATAACATATTTCAGAACATCATTTAACATATATACAAACAAATAACATATATACAAACAAATAAAACATATCACATACCATCAATAGCATCATCAAGTACCTTGCCAACTGGCATAGGTGACCATGCCTTTCCACAATCTGTGTTCCACAATCCGTGATCTTCAACAGCATGTACACTCAGCATATGTACTGACAACCTTCACAACCATGACAGAAGGTTGTCAAAAAATTGTCTTGTGTTGTCTTCCTCATGTCTTTCTTTCCACAGATCTTTCTAGTGGTCACATGTTCTATTTCCTTTTTCTCATATGATAAAAAAAAAAATGATGACTGTCTCAGATGTCTGTGATAAGTTGCCTTCGAGCCTTCACTTCTTTCAAAATATCTGGGTTGCTCTTTTTGGCTATCCAAGGAATTCCAAGGATTCTTCTGTAAAACCACATCTCAGAGGCCTCAAGTTTGGCTTGTTTATTAATTGTCCAGGATTCATAGCCATAAGATAAAACTAGTTCTACATAGCCTGTCAGAATTCTTTTCCTAACCTCCAATGGCATAGATTTATTGCACAAAATGTTCTTCATTTTATAAAAGGCAGTTTCAGTTTGTTCTATTATGTTCTATATTTCTGTGATACAGCTTTTGCTGGATGTTATCCATGTGCCTAGATATTTAAATTTCTGTGCATGTCCTAAAATAATGCCTTTGACTTTTATTATACATTTAGGCACTATTCTTTTCTTGGAAATCACCATTACTTCTGTCTTCCCTTTATTCAAAATTAGGCCCATTTTATCACTTTTCACCATAACCGTAACTATCTTCTTCTTCTTCGCGTTCACCAGCTGAACACTCTGGCGGCAAGTTCTGGTTGCTCGTCCACTACTGAACTGCGGTCCTGCTCCAGAACCTGAGTGTTGCGTGTGCATCAGTTTTACATATCTTATTCTCTTGAATACAGACTGTTGGTTCCTTGCCTCTCCGGCAGATGCACTCCGACTTCAAAGGAAGCTCCCCAATTAGTCGACTCTTACGACATGCTTTTGGGGAGGCAGTGGGTCTATTCTTGTTTTCCCCACAATGGGGCCCCCGAACCCACACGGGAGACCGTAACTATCAATTCCTGTAGTTCTTTCTGACTTATTGCTATCAAAACAGTGTCATCAGCATAAAGTAGGCTGTTTATGACCACCAACCAAACTCCCTGGCTTATCGATGAAACATCTCATTATGTATTCACTGTATAATGAAAACAAATCAGGCTGTACTCCCCTGTTTATGCTCCAAAATGTTCCCAAATGGTTCATTCTTATAGCTGCTGCTCGCTGCCAATGTATGTTCTGTATTATTTGCAGATCTTTCCTATCAATGTTAACTTTTTTTTCCATCATTAGTTAATTTCCTCATGTTTCACACAATCAAAAGCTTTTGTATAGTCAATGAAATAAAAGTACAGATCAGATTTGTTTTTCTACAACTCTTTCCAAAAGAATCCTGTGAATGTATATGACATTGTTTGTACCTTCTCCTTCTATAAATCCACACTATTCTTCACTAATTTATGGTTTTTTTCTTGCTTCTTATTCTTCTCTTAATTATTCTAACTCACATCTTATAGCCTATATTTACACAATATATAAAAAAATCTAACTTATATATATCCAAACAATAAATATATATATATTTATAAACATATAATAAATATACAAACAGATATAATACATACACAAACCTATAACAATGGGAGCTACCAAATAGAGTGGGTAGAAGATTGGCACAGTGTCTGATAGCACTTTTCTGAGAGACTGAACTCTAAAGCCTGATACTTTGATACTGAAGTCATGATAAATGCTTCCATCAGAGTCAGGTTGGAGTAGTCTTTTATTCCTACTCTATGATTTCCTTCTCCACTTCCTCCACTTACTTAATTCTGTGCTTTTTCTAATTTTTTGTATATTCATTCATTCAGTGGCATGTCCCTCGCGGAACCTCGCTGCCATAACAACCCTCCGGAAAACCTTCCTATCCTGAGCAAGATGTCCTGCGTCTGATACACCCATCTGGAGATCATCTGCCACATCCTGCACCCATCTTCTCCTTCCTCTTCCTCTCTTCCCAGGCATATACCCCTCCATTATTGTTCTCTCTAGACTTCCATGACGTTTCAAGTGACCAAAATATTTCAATATACAAAATATTTTTTGTATAAGCTGACTTTAATTTCTTTAAGCCTGTTCTTGATGCTGTCATTCCATCTCTTCCTAATGATGTCTTTATAATTCTTCAGTTAACCCTACTGCTGCAGCCTCCTCATAAATTTTCACTTGATTATAAATTAAATTTTCTGAACAAGTTTTTCAAACATGTTCATTCTAAAACTAAGTAAACATTTATGCGCTAGTAACAAAATGGACGAGAAAAGGCATCGAAACGAAAGCCAAATTTAATCAAGAAAATCAAAACTAGCCTGGCAACTTCAATTTAATACAAACCGTAAACTGGATAAAAGAGTTGCAATGCAAAAAAGCAACAAGCAACCAGGTCCAACCAATGAGGAGAGGTCCCTAATATTAAACCTATACCGTACCACAAACGCAGCAATTCTTACATCTCGAGTAGAGCAGTGAATGCTGGATCCCACCTTGAGCCAGTGTAGTGCAGTCTTGTAGTCCTGCTGGGCGATGTAACACTGACCAGACAGACAAGAAAACAATCATGATGGCCACTATGACTGTTATAATAAATAGTCACACACACACAAAGGACTCAGAAATAAAAATGTAGTAACAAATTCAGAATACAGTGAGAAATGAAGAATACATTCAGAAAGTATGAATACAGTGAGAAATGAAGAATACATTCAGAAAGTATGAATACAGTGAGAAATGAAGAATACATTCAGAAAGTATGAATACAGTGAGAAATGAAGAATAAAGTCAGAAAGTATGAATACAGTGAGAAATGAAGAATAAAGTCAGAAAGTATGAATACAGTGAGAAAATAAACCACATAATTAGGAGTAGGTCATCTGATGGTGAGAAATTAAGAAAACTCTGAGAAGGTGAGAAATGAAATCTATAGTGAACAATTAAGCAAATAATGAGAAGGTAAGAGTATGATGAACCATTAAGAAAAAGTGAAAAAAAAAAATCAAAAGTACTGTCAGAAATTAGGAATACAGACAGAAGATAAGTGTTGTCAGAAACTAGGAATACAGACAAAAGATAAGTGTTGTCAGAAATTAGGCATACAGGCAGAAGATAAGTGTTGTCAGAAATTAGGAATCCAGACAGAAAATAAGGGTTGTCAGAAATTAGGAATAAAGACTGAAAATAAGTGTTGTTAGAAACTAGGAATACAGAAAGAAAATAAGTGTTGTCAGAAAGTAGGAATACAGACAGAAGATAACAGTATGATGAGAAAGTAAGAATATACAGATAAGTTAAGAATATGAAATACTTGTAGCTGGATGCCTGTTATTGTCTTCAGTTAAACTTTTCCACAGAAGCGTCTGTCTTCTCTTTCATAAGTCTCATTATTCTGGGTGCCAATAAAACAATAATGACCTTCTCAATAACCTGGATGATACATGGGCTTTGTGCAAGATGAGAGACACTGGACAAAGAGGGAGCTGCCAGACTTTCACTTAGTCTTGTGAACCTGTGATGAGAATGAGGATGCAACAGAAGAGATGGAGGTAGTCTTGTGAACTTGTCACGAGAATGTAGCTGTAACAAAAGAGACTCATGAAGTCGTGTCTACTTGGCAGTCGTGGTGCTGAAATGAGAGGCGACAGCTCCAGGCTGACAGAAAATGCTGAATGAACAAAAACTATGACTAGGAAGCTCCACTGCAGGAGGACACATTTAGTTACAAATAAATAATTTAGACATAATTCAAGGAAAATGATACTTTGACTACAGAAAATTAAAAACCTGAAATTACAGGTAAAGAAATGAAACTAAAATAACGAGAAGTCATTTATTACGAGGAAGAAAAAAACAAGAAGAAAACATGTGATCCAATAATACAAAACAAAACACCAACAGAAAGATATTGTAGTGACATACTTGGCTGTGAGAAATAACTTACTTTTGCTAAGTACAAGGCATTGTCTATGGAGCCTTTTGGTTTGAGCTCTTCTGCCTGAATAAAATACACAGAGCAAATAAATATGATTTCAAATCATGACAAGGTCAGAAACAATACTGCAAGTAAGCAAACAGGTCAGAAATAATGTTGTAAGGAAGAAAACATGTAAGAAACAATGTTGCAAGGAAGAAAACGGGTAAGAAACAATGTTGCAAGGAAGAAAATGGGTAAGAAACAATGTTGCAAGGAAGAAAACGGGTAAGAAACAATGTTGCAAGGAAGAAAACAGGTCAGAAACAATGTTGCAAGGAAGAAAACAGGTCAGAAACAATGTTGCAAGGAAGAAAACAGGTCAGAAACAATACTGCAAGGAAGAAAACAGGTCAGAAACAATGTTGTAAGGAAGAAACCAGATCAGAAACAATACTGCAAGGAAGAAAATAGATCAGAAACAATACTGCAAGGAAGAAAACAGGTCAGAAAAAATGTTGTAAGGAAGAAAACAGGTCAGAAACAATACTGCAAGGAAGAAAACAGATCAGAAACAATACTGCAAGGAAGAAAACAGGTCAGAAACAATACTGCAAGGAAGAAAATAGGTCAGAAACAATACTGCAAGGAAGAAAACAGATCAGAAACAATGTTGCAAGGAAGAAAACAGGTCAGGAACAATGTTGCAAGGAAGAAAACAGGTCAGAAACAATGTTGCAAGGAAGAAAACAGGTCAGAAACAATGTTGCAAGGAAGAAAACAGGTCAGAAACAATGTTGCAAGGAAGAAAACAGGTCAGAAACAATACTGCAAGGAAGAAAACAGGTCAGAAACAATGTTGTAAGGAAGAAACCAGATCAGAAACAATACTGCAAGGAAGAAAATAGATCAGAAACAATACTGCAAGGAAGAAAACAGGTCAGAAAAAATGTTGTAAGGAAGAAAACAGGTCAGAAACAATACTGCAAGGAAGAAAACAGGTCAGAAACAATACTGCAAGGAAGAAAACAGGTCAGAAACAATACTGCAACGAAGAAAACAGATCAGAAACAATACTGCAAGGAAGAAAACAGATCAGAAACAATACTGCAAGAAAGAAAACAGGTCAGAAACAATGTTGCAAGGAAGAAAACAGATCAGAAACAATACTGCAAGGAAGAAAACAGATCAGAAACAATACTGCAAGAAAGAAAACAGGTCAGAAACAATGTTGCAAGGAAGAAAACAGGTCAGAAACAATACTGCAAGAAAGAAAACAGGTCAGAAACAATACTGCAAGGAAGAAAACAGGTCAGAAACAATACTGCAAGGAAGAAAACAGATCAGAAACAATACTGCAAGGAAGAAAACAGATCAGAAACAATACTGCAAGGAAGAAAACAGATCAGAAACAATACTGCAAGGAAGAAAACAGGTCAGAAACAATACTGCAATTAAGCACACAGAGTTTAGTATCAACACTGTGAGCAATGTTAGTAAGAGCAAGCAGCAGTTCACCACCTCACAGGATCAGCTCTGTGTTCTTGTGTAGAGTAGGCGTAGGCATGAATGTATCGCCATAGATTTCAGTTCATGTTTCTGATTAAATACCTTGGAAATTTCTCTACGCCACTGGATGGAAATGACTAGTATTGTTTCTACTACAAACCCCAGTAGACCAGCCACAGTTAGGATGATTTGGTCATATATGCAGAATGGAAAAGAATTGGCCACCAAGTAAGGTAGGTATGGTAACCAGACCTCCAGGGGGAAGGAGGGTCTGCTGGGAAGACATCCGACAGTCCCTGACTGACAGAGGACTGGAATGGAACAAAGGGGAAACAGAAAACTGCTGACAGAGAAGTCTGGCAATCTCTCTGGCAAGCCTCTACACCCCAGTGTAGAAGAGGAATAACTAAGTGAGTCAGCCACTCTTCTCAACAAATGACAGAAGACATGATTTGCCTCTTTCTATAGTTGTATATATGTTCTCAAACAAAAACATATTTGCAGTCATCTTACCTTGTGGAAACAATTCATTGCTTCCTCCAAGGTGGCTGTTGGCGGGACAGCAAACAAGGTGGAGGCAACTTTCCGCTCTACCCAGGACAACATATACACCTGTTGAGGGACAGACAACAGAATAAAGACAGTATTATCATCATCATGTATCAGAGAAAGCAGGCAGGCAGTCTTGCTCCTCTAAACACATCTGTCCTCTATGTTCTTAGTAAGTCTGGCCGATGACCGTCCCCCATGTCACTCTGCCAGCCAATAAGGCACTTTCTCTCTGTGCTAACCTCTGTCTCTACATCCTGGTTTTTCTTGCCACAACCTTCCTCAAATCCCTCTAGTGTTACAACATTACCAAAACTAACAATCGTCTTTATGTCAGTAATAATGTGTTTTGGAAACTCTGATGTTAGTAATCCTGTCTATGAACTCCGATGCCAGTAATTTTTTCTATGAACTATGATGTCAGTAATCCTGTTTTTGTGAACTCTGATGTCAGTAATCGAGTCTTTTTGAGCTTTGATATCAGTAATCCTATCTATGAACTGGCCTCTTGCGGTACTTGGATATTCATCTTCATAGCTGTCCATCTCTATAGCTTCCAGTTTCTTTCCACTCTCTTGACTCAGTAACCATAATTCACAGGCATATGGTTGTAGGGGCAATGCATAAAATCATAAAATTTGTTTTCATAGAATAAATGGTGTTGAGTATGAGAATTAATTCTGTCAAAGATATTTATGATTTCAAACAAGTCAAGCCCTACAAGTTTCACCCTGCAGTAGTTTCCAATTTTGTGGTTCACAGATCAGCAGAATAAATTGTGAGGAGTTTGTAATATCACTGACCACAAAAGAAAAAAAACCTGGTAATCAAAATAGCAGGTCTGCAGACTGTCTCTGGCTGGCTTCTAAAGACACAGCCTGTGATGAGTGAGATGCCTAATGTATGAAAGGGGGGTTAAATAGTCATGAGCAGAATGAGATGATTCCTTGAGTGAGCCCAGTACCAGAGCACCACGAATTGGTTCTGCACGTATGGAAGACTCCTTGGATGGCAGAGATGCTTATGTTCTGCCCCTGCCTTCTCCTGAGGCAAACCCAGCACCCCATGGCTTCTCTGGTCCATTTTGCTCTAGGAAACAAAGGTGACCACACAACAATGAGACTGCAATGTGTGACAAAACTAACTGGGAAGGCTGGCCCGGACAACAAAAGCCTACAGAAGTCAAGACGTGGCAGCTGAAAGGTACAAATATCCCAGACATGCTGTAAACGGGCACAAGGCATCTACATCTTCGGACAAACGCATAAGGAGAACTTTAGAACGTAATCCTTTTTGCAATTACAATATTTATAAATATCTTTGGGTATGATTGTTGAAAGTAAGGGGTACATGGCAAACCTCTGGAAATAAGAGAGCTCCTGGTCTCAGCTTATTGGGGACCACTGGACTACTGTAATAAACCTCTCGGTGTGAGCTAACGGAAATCTTTAAAAGAGTTGACAGATCCCTGAAATACCAAGTTTAAAAAAAAAATACTTATACAATAATTGTCAACTGTTGGGTGGCATATACCAAACCTGACATCCCATTTTGTGCCAATGGTTTCGGGAGGAGGCGCACATTGGGGAGGATACTAGCCTTATCCTAGGAAGAGGTAATGCAAACTGAAAACTATGTTATGTTATGGCAGACGAGGCCCCCAACCTTGGCTGGCAGCTGGTCTGGAAGGGAAGCTCTAAAAGGCGGTCAGATGGGGCACAGTTCTCGTGATCCAGGCAGTTCTGCAGCCTGCTTTGTTCCAAGCGTACTGGTGTTACGTTTCCCATGGAGTAAACAAGGCAGGTGGGAAGAAAGAGATCATAATGCCTGGGCAACACATTGTCTCTACAACACTGCCCAAGCTTTGAGCTATGGAGAGCTCTACAACACTGCCCAAGCTTTGAGCTATGGAGAGCTCTACAACACTGCCCAAGCTTTGAGAGCAATGGAGAGCAGAAACTTCATCCGTGGCCTTAACTGGTTCTTGGAATCTCAATGTGGGCAGGTCTTGCTAGTCACATTCGCCATCTCCATGGGATGTGAGTCCCATGACTCCTCATAGCACAATATCACACTACCATCTGGAAAGATGGAACAGGGCCAATCAATCAACAGTCGACTACAAGAACCAGTAAGGCTCTACCATTCTACTTCTCCAATAATCAATGATTAATCCATGTTAGAGAAAACTTCTCTAAGCACGAAGTATAGCAGAATGAAAAAGTCCGTCCGTTTCAGCTCTTATGACATCCCCCTATGAGCGTTTCTGACAGAACCCCCTGCAGAGCATTGGGGCTGAAGTTACATCTGCATATTGTGTTTTTTTTTTTATCTGAATGACTGCAGTCATTCTGGCTCTATTATGTACTAGATATGCTAATTCACAGTTTTCTGTGAAAATATCAAATGAGCAACACTTACAGAGTAGCACCAGCGGCCCAACATGTGATAGGAAAGTGCGTCTGCTGGTTTGTACTTGATAGCTGCCTGTATGTGTTCCTGGAGACACCCCAAAAATAATACTTGTGAAGTCTGATTTTAAACTTGGACTAAGTGATGATAAAAACCTGGCACAACTCAAATACTGAATGACTAATAGGTCAAAGAGAAACTAGAAACATACCTGTCTAATTGACAGAATGATGAGAAAACATTTGTCACTGGAAAAAACAAACCACCTATAATTTGTCATAACAGATTTTAATATGGAGATTCTTCGGACTCAGATTTGAGTCTGAAGTAGAACGGAGCACTTATGGGTTACCTCTTGTGCCATGATGTTCATCCGTCGTCTAGACCATGAACCAAACATTGATAAAATAACACATGGGTTTATAACACACCATTTAGAGGGAGCAATGGCAAACTTTCTTCACCCTTTCACGCCAGTGATCTATAACAAAAAAAAAAAAAAAAAAAAAAACCAAAGCCAAACTCCAATATTTTCCACTTTAACAACAGTTCCAGAAAAAAAATCTCCTGAGAAAAACAACATATTGCAACCCCCCCACTCCCTTCCTAAACCCCATATAAAATCAGTTTTGTTTAAAACACTGACAAATATTATACAGAGTAAAGGCAATAACCAATTTAAAAAAATATTTTAAAATGCAGCACAGAATCCGCTGGCCTACATCTTCAGGGTGGGTAAACTAATTACAGTCTGACACTTACTTGACTCTATCTGGCAACCACTAAAGCAAATTAAACAAATACGAGGTAATAATTTCTATAAATAGAGCCACTCCCCACTAAATACAAATCTCCTTTTTTAGGGTGGGGTGGGGGGGGGGGGGGGGTACAAGGAGAATTTAGACAACCTATCACACCAAATGTTTGTGTGGATGCAATGAATTCTGTTAGCTAGACGTCTTGTAAACAAGTCTCTATATAGAGACAGGAAAGCTGCTTTTACAAGAAAAATGGTATCAAAGGGAAGTGTCGGCTCGGGGCAAAAAGGTTTTTAAAAAAAAAATCACATCTATATACCTATAACAATTACAGTGACAATGACACGCTATAATATATTTATGACATTATCTCTAAAATGGGACCTGTGGTATGCATATGGCTAGCTTGCCAGGCTTCTGACCCTGTCATTTCTCCGAAACAGGGAATTAAAAAGATTTTTTTATCTGGGCACCAAGCTAAAAAATGGGTACCAGAAAATGTTGTGGGGAAGTTGAGGTTGGTATATTAACCATCTCATCCATAAAGTTCTGACTGATCTATAAAAATACTAGGCCAGCACCATCTACCGAAATGTGTCCAACCGTGGACAAGTCTCTTGTACTCTTACATTGTTTTAATCATCTAAACTGTGTAAAGAAAAAAAATGTACCTAATACTAGTAGTGATACACTTAATTAAATAGGAAAATTTCAGCCAGATTTTCTACAATAAATGTGCAAAACAAAAGTAAGGACATGCTAAGAACTAGTAGCTATGACGAGGTGTGGCAATTCTAATTACAACACCAGCACACAAATGTCAACATTCAGAGAACAGGCAGTTTCCTGTGGCAACATAGTGTGAGACAGGAATCATTTCAGTGTAGTAAGAACATACAATTAAAGCTTTTTAAATGTTATGTTAAAACTTTTTGTCGTCGCATGAAAGACTGTCAACATACAAAGTGATAAATACTGTTGATGATCACAGGTTGTGGAGAGGCATGCTCGCCAGTTGCCAAGCCACCTGATGATGTTGACAAAAAACATTCTCAGTAGAACACTGATCAAGAAGAGAACACATACAGACATCGATTAAACTCTGAACATTGAAGCAAAAAGGGCTCATAAACAGCATCACATTGACAGCAACTGCATCACTCTGACTGTTTCAGTCAATGAGATAGGGAAGTGCACTAGAAAGCATGGTTTTTGTTGTTGTTGAAGAAAAGGCAGAGATCAAACAGCACAAAGATAGCTACACACACGGGAGACAGACTGGGCATGAACATATGCCAGGTGGAAGAACTGGCATGGAACCAGGATTGTTTTTGCCAGGTTGTCTTGACAGCAATATTCTTCAAATGCCCAGAACATAATGAATATGCTGATGTTAAAAGAAAAGCCGAAAAGCCACTTACAGCGGATCAGAAAATATGCCTCAAAATTTGAGAGACTTCTGTCTTAACAATTTAGCCATATGCTCACCACGCTGTCAAATATGCAGTCAAATCAACAGCCAACATAAATAGGGTCTAAACATGGGAGACAACACAACTATGACATTAACTAGGGAGACAAGAATTATTAAGTCTTACTTTGATATCAAAAGCATTTTTGATTTGTTCTTGTACCGGAAGAAACTGTGTTATGCTTCCCATTATAATGGCCAACCTGTAATCATAATTGACAACATTCAAGCAAACAAAATTCTGACTCATGATTTCCTTTGTTCACACATACTTATACACCATTTGAGTTCACAGGTTAATGTATCCAACATACCTATGTGCACTCGGGTCTTTCTCTAGACACTAAGTAAACTCCATATCTCAAGAGCAGTTATTTAAAGCTCCATCCAGCTGGTTTAGGGCCCTAATTCTAACTTAGGGGTTGAATGGGGTTCTGGGACTTGTGCTCCGGCAATTCTCATCCAAATAGTGGCACTTTGTGTCACCAGGTGTTTACCGCTCGCCGTTCGGGCCTGGTGGGGTTGACCATTAGTCAGTCAGTCAGTCAGTTAGTCAGTCAGACTCTAGACAGATTCCATGCAAGGTAACAGGCTCTATCTACTCACAAGCCGATATTTCTTATCAATTTGCTAGTTTGCAGTTTAACAGTATTTTAGCTAACACACGCTGGTAAGCACTGGACCTTTCCGTTACTGCAACGTTCCCGTGAAGTTCCTGAAAATGGCCTGTCAGTAGTGACCCTTTTCAGAGAAACCTAGTTTAATGTGACAAGTTATATTAGTGCTTGAGTAGTGCTTAGGAGTCCTAGATATGAATATATTACCTAAAAATAGCATTTAGGTGTTTTCATGTGAACCAAATATCTTTTATAAAGCCAAGTTGACACTGACATTTCCTGTACTTCAATACAAAGAGAGCAAAATCAGCTACAGAAAATAAAAATTACAACAAAGTCATGACGGTCTGTGCCCCCCCCCCCCCCCCTCCCATCATCGCATCAACACTGAAACTCTACTGGCTGCTGAAGATAGGGACTGAGCTGTTATGGGAATGTCCAAGGTATCATCATAGCAGTTTAAACTAAACTCATCTAAAATTTTTGCTTTCCTACTAGAGAAACATGTGGCCCACATCTGGACACAAGCTGAAAAACACCCTAAAGAACGGCCATTTTGTCTTCTAGCGGGAAAATACAAAACCCTGTCTTCACATTGTATGATGTCAGTATTGTCTTCAGACTTTAGCCCCAACAAATGTGAACACCAGCAATAAATGAATACCATAATGGTAATATGCTTAAAATTCTAACAAATGCACTCTCAATATTCTCACATAACCAGCACCACATTTTCACACCCGTGTACTGAAGTAATAATAATCCTGTTCAAAACTGGTTCAAGAAGACAATCATACCATTTATGAGCATCCCCGCTCTCACTGTCAAGTTGGACTGCAGCAATGGCGGCTTCATGAGCTTCTCGCATCAAGTCCTTCTGACCTTCATGTGGTTTGTCTGGGTGGTTGAACATTTCTTCTGATGCCAACAAGAACGCTGACCTTGCCAGACGCCAGTGAACTTCTGCATTACGTGGACTCTGATGATTGACAAGAGGGAAAAAGTTGGCTTCCTTAAGGACATACTGTGGAGAGTAGCCTCTTTATCAGAACAAGGGAAGTGATCAGAATCTGACAATAAAAGTATGTATCTGTGTAATTTCTGTCTGCTGCCATCCCCCCTGTCTGTACCCAGTCTCTCACATCACAGGTGGGGTAATGGCAGTGTAAGTTCTGGTCTCTATCATCCCCCCCTGTCTGTACCCAGTCTCTCACATCACAGGTGGGGTAATGGCAGTGTAAGTTCTGGTCTCTATCATCCCCCCTGTCTGTACCCAGTCTTTCACATCACAGGTGGGGTAATGGCAGTGTAAGTTCTGGTCTCTGCCATCCCACCTGTCTGTACCCAGCCTCTCACATCACAGGTGGGGTAATGGCAGTGTAAGTTCTGGTCCCTACCATCCCACCTGTCTGTACCCAGTATCTCACATCACAGGTGGGGTAATGACAGTGTAAGTTCTGGTCTCTATCATTCCCCCTGTCTGTACCCAGTCTCTCACATCACAGGTGGGGTAATGACAGTGTAAGTTCTGGTCTCTATCATTCCCCCTGTCTGTACCCAGTCTCTCACATCACAGGTAGGGTAATGGCAGTGTAAGTTCTGGTCTCTATCATTCCCCCTGTCTGTACCCAGTCTCTCACATCACAGGTGGGGTAATGGCAGAGTAAGTTCTGGTCTCTACCATCCCCCCTGTCTGTACCCAGTCTCTCACATCACAGGTGGGGTAATGGCAGAGTAAGTTCTGGTCTCTGCCATCCAACCTGTCTGTACCCAGTCTCTCACATCACAGGTGGGGTAATGGCAATGTAAGTTCTGGTCTCTGCCATCCAACCTGTCTGTACCCAGTCTCTCACATCACAGGTGGGGTAATGGCAATGTAAGTTCTGGTCCCTACCATCCAACCTGTCTGTACCCAAACTTGATATAACCTGTCTATTCACTGTATCAATGGCTACCCATACATGGCACAAAACCAGAATGAAATTATTACCAATGTTTTCAAACACAAAAACAGCCAATTACTGTGTGAATGCCATTTTTAATCACTAACAAACAAAAATGAAACAAATCTGACAGATGTATTATTTCAGGCTGTAAAGTCAAAAATAATTGTTGTGTGTCTTTGTTTTTTTTAATGAAGGTTCTTCAACATACCAATATAATATCAATAGCAGATATAAAGTGATTAAATGCACAAAACATAAACACAAATGACTAAAAGTCAATGACTCAACCACAAATAAAACACACCTTATTGGCTAACTCTGTTAAAGTTGTGTGAGCATTCAGTACATTCTCAAAATCTCCATGCTCCATCTGCTGGTCGAGTTTCACAAGAATACTGTTTAAATGACGTGAACTCCTGGACCCGTCTTCACACTCTGTGTTTGAGGCATCTGATTCTACACACTCAGGAATGTTTGGTCTGTGAAGCAAACGGAAACAGTGTCTATCGATAAGAGTGTGAAAATTGTAAGGAATAAATCCTTTCTGTAGCTGAGTTACTGAGCCCACAAACATTACTGTCACCTCATTGGGTTTTCTGTTCTATGATGGTGACATTACCCAATGGTGAAGGAGACTTGCCCACGCCTTCAGGAATATTAGCATACAGTGCTAGACTGATATTTTATAGACCAATCGCATTAGGTTGGTGATGTGGTCACGTTGGCCACCTTTACTTTCTGAGACTTTACATGGTACCCATTTAAGGCTGGGTTGACCTGGGAGCTAAGGTTGTTTTTGAAAAATCGCCCAGCTCCATTTAGATTTGAACCCACGACCTTCAGATCCACATACAAGCATCCAGCTGCTACACCATGGTGGCTTTATACAACAGTCATTTACTTTAAATATATTTAGGGATCTTTACAATAATCTTGGCTCCACGGCCAATGTAGCCTAAAATGAGTATTAGGAAATTAACTAGGAAATAAAGGTGGTCAGTGTGCTGATGACTAAAGTTCCCATCAAGTGCTGACTGGCCTATGAAAATGAATGTGGCCAGGACAAAGTACCCACTACATGGGTCCTGTTGAGAAATAATTGTCCATGCTGTCCTTTTATGTAGCTTCTTCTCTGCTGTTTTTTTTTTTAATGTTTACCTCTTGGATTTCTCAGCATGTGCTTTGTTTGTTTGTTTCTCAAAAGCCAAGCACTGCAGTTATTGTACCAAGGAGCACGCTAAAAGACATGACTCTGTATCATTGTCTAGACTTGTGGACATGGGGGTGCAGCCAGGAGCTGCAAGAAATGAACATTTCACTAAGGGGACAAGACGTTTCCTTAACCAATACAGAACAGGCGTCATCAGTCGTTTTACACTTGTGGAGCTTTTGAGATCGGAGCATCTATGGATCTTTCCGGAGTGCTGTGATGATAATTCTTTATAATCCCTAATCACTAATCAAGAGTCATGAACCCGAAATACCCAAACTGTGTCAACCTGGTGGATACACGGACTTGTGTAACTATACGATCAGTCACATGACAAAGAATTTCAGTGTCAATACAGTCCAGCTCAAGAGGTCTCATCAATCCCAACTTTTGTATGTGGCTGTCTGATTGGTTAAGAATGCAGGATCATCATGCGGTAGACCAGGTTCAAATACTCGGTCAAGTTAAGGATTTTTTTTTCTGTCAGATGCAAAACTTTAATCCTGACCCGCACAGTCTGTGGTGCCAGCACTAGCCAAATGACCCTAAATCCCCAGGCTCAAAGACACCCTCCCCCCCCACCACACACACAAGTGGTAAATACAGCCAGTCATGGCAGTAACAACAGACTCAGCGTGGTCTGTGCCCAGTCTATTGCAGCCAGTGACAGAAGCAAGTCTCTCACTCCAGTACTTAGCTCAGTGACAACAGACTCAGCGTGGTCTGTGCCCAGTCTATTGAAGAGAGTGACAGAAGTGCGTCTCTCACTCCAGCACTTAGCTCAGTGACAACAGACTCAGCGTGGTCTGTGCCCAGTCTATTGGAGCCAGTGACAGAAGCAAGTCTCTCACTCCAGTACTTAGCTCAGTGACAACAGACTCAGCGTGGTCTGCGCCCAGTCTAATGGAGAGAGTGACAGAAGTGTGTCTCTCACTCCAGCACCTAGTTAGCTCAGTGACAAGAGACGCATGAATGTAGAATTAAGTGTTGGTCCAACAAGGAGCCATTTAGCAGATGAAATGTACACCACATTTATAATCACTGTCTAACTGGCATGATAAGTCTGCACACCTTATGATATCCTCTGTCAGAGACAGAGTAACAATAAGATGATGAAATAAAATGTTACATTTCTTGGGCAACGTCTGAAGCATCCACAAAGACCTCCTCCATCTCATCAGTGGATGATGAAGTCCCTGTGGCTTCCTTGATCTGTTTGATGTCATTTTCCAGCTTGAGAATTTGTTGCTTCAGCTGAACAATCTGGGCCGTGAGGCACTTCTGCCTCCTAGACCACATATACTGCTGGTAGGCTACCAGGGCCGCCCCCGAGCCCAGCAGTAATGCCGTCGAAAGGATGAATGTCTTGGATGAGAAGAAGCCTCCCTCTCCACTCATGACTAGTGCTAGTGTTTGTTTTCCCAACACAGAATTCTTGGAGGGAGTGCTCATTAAACACCATGGAGATCACCGACTCCAAAACCTGTGAACAAGAAACATAAAAGTGCAGTGTCAGTGAGTACTAGAATATTTTCTTATTATCAAAATGTTTCAATACATAAAATTGCTACTGTTCTGATGTGATGGTGTGGGCTGATGAGTTGGGGGGAGGGGGGGGGGGTTCGATGAGTTGGGGGGGGGGACGGTAAAGAGCCCTTTTTAAAAGAATGGAGCTCCAGGGCCCCATTGTGGGGGAAAACTGCCTCCTCAACAAGCATGTCATAAGAGTCGACTAACTGGGGGCTTCCTTCAAAGTTACAGTGCATGTTCTGTGTGGGGTTCTGGGTCCCCATTATGGGGGAAAACAGACATACTGCCTCCCCAACAAGCTTGTTGTAAGAGCTGACTAACTGGGGGCTTCCTTCAAAGTTACAGTGCATGTCTTGTGTGGGGTTCTGGGGGAAAACAGACATACTGCCTCTCCAAAATGCATGTCATAAGAGTCGGCTAATTGGGAGCTAACTTTGAAGTTGGAGAACATCTGCCAGAGAGGCAAGGAAACAACAGTCTGCATAGAAATAAGCTAGATCTGTAAAATGGATATGCATGCAACACTCAAGGTTCTGGAACAAGACTCAAGTCCTGAGGTAGGCGAACAACCAGAATTTTCTGCTGGAGTTTACAGCCAGTGAACAAGAAGAAGAAGAATTCATATTATTGAATGACTGTCGATGCTGACTGCAGTGGTATGTTCTCAATGTTCTGGTGACAATGCATGTGACATATGCAGGGTTTTTCTTCTGGTTGTATGCAGCAGTACACAGTACAGGCACCTTTTTTTAGTTTTCTAGGCATCATATTTTTCAGCGCTTTTGTAAAAAAACAAACTTTGTGGTGAGTACTTTAAAAATACCTTAAAAAACAATGTGAGTACTGGGACCTTTTTTATAGAGTCTTTTGCTGAGTAACCTCATCTTTTTTCTAGGAAAAAAAAATAAAGACTTTGATGTATTAAGTAATCCCTCAGCATTTTGTGGTGTGTTTTCTTTAAAAAAAAAAAGGTATGGATTTAGTAATAGTCACTATTCAATACACTGTACAGATTTTTGTTCTAGATGAATGTGGATGCCTAAGAACGTGCATGTATATATTTTTGTAATAGTAATATCAAAGTAAATGGAATTAATATGGGAGAAGAGCAGAACTGCATGCATCTGGGCACACTGATGGTATCAGAAAGAAGATATGTCACAAATACAAAGAATCAACACTCGCCAGGTTATTCATTGATTCAACATAACTTGCTTATCAACAGTGTGCACATTTAAAATCTTCTTCTTCTTCTTTTTCTCTGCGTTCACTGGCTGTACACGCCTGCAGAAAGTTCTTGCTGTTCATTCACCTCTGGACTTTAGTTTTGCTCCAGAACCTGAGTATTCAGTACACATCCGTTTTACAGATCTGATTTATTAGTAAACAGACTATTAGCTCCTTACCTCTCAGGTAAATGCACCCCAATTTCAAAGGAAGCTCCCAGTTAGTCGACTTTTACAACATACTTTTTTTTAGGAGGCAGTGGGTCTATTTTTGTTTTCGCAACAATGGGGACCAAGAACACACACTGGAATAAAATATTATATTCTGGTCATTCTCTCCTATTTAGATAAAACAAAAAACAAAAGAACTTCTGTGATAAGAAATTATAGGCAAAATCAATCCCTGGGGACCTTGGAACTGTGCCACTGAACAGTGTCTGCCATGACGGTAAAGTTCAATCAGGAAGTAGCAGTCTCTGCCACACAGACTACATTAAAACGTTGATACTCTATTTTACTGAAGCTGGTTTATCCTCAGATGTCACATCTCTAGAGCTTGCTGCTTCCTGATGAAAGTGTGATAGTCCATCTTTTACTGTCTGCCCCCATAGGAGTCCATCTGTAGCTGATCTCTCCCAAGCATCTGTTTCAATGTTGATATCTTTCCGTTCTTATTTGCATATGTCCTTATAGTGTAGCTTTGGCCTTCGTGTAGATATTTTCCACTTACAATTCACACTAAAAAAAATACTTTGGAATTTGATCGTCCACCATTCACCATGCAATAGACATGTTCCAGCCAGTGAAGGCATCTTTGCTTCAGAAAGACTATATTGCTGGTATTCCTGTTTTACTTAATACATATTCCGGCTCTCCTTCGAACTTCGTCCCCATATTATGGCGGCCAAACAAATACCCTAACAGGGCTTCAGTCGTGTGTAAAATGCAGACTTCCTCCGACAAACACAACGTGGCAAAACTGGGATTATTATCTGTTGACAGTTTTGAAAAATAGCTAAATGGCGGGGAGACCACGTGCTCCGACGCAGCTTAGCGATAGTGTTCTTCCGATTAAACTCACCGTCGAGCGCATCTCCCGCTTGCTATGCTATGGGGGGTGGTTGCTAAACTAGAAGGCTGGGACTCACGAGCAGCAGCTACCGCATCTCCTGCAACTTCCTCCAGTTTATTTGCTCGTGCGTCCCAGACATCTAGTTTAGCTCCCAATCCGCACCACGCGTAGCGGGGAATACTGTCGGCGGTGCGGCATAGTTGCAGAAACAGGTCCGGAATTAACATATCGCTGAGACCCTGTTAGAGTTTTTATTTGCCCTCGATAATATTGGCCCGTTTTTCGGAGGCAATCCTCCACAATTTGCATATGACTGAGGCCCTGTTAGGATATTTGTTTGGCCGCCATTATAAGGGGACGAAATTCGAAGGAAGGATAACCCATATTCCTTGGGGAAAAAGATATGACATAATAAAGAATGTGTTCAAACAGTGAATATGGAATGTATACAGTATACAGTCCAGTCACTGTTGTGGTCTTGAGGCATAGTGTCAGCCTCGAGTGCTGGAGGTCGCGTGTTTCAGCCCCGATGAAGGCTAGGATTTTTTCAAGTTCACTTCTAGTAATTTCCCCTGGTCTATAGGTAGTAAGATGCGCACGTAAACAATCCCTTGGCAGTTGGAAATCAACAAGAGTAGCCTAATGGCGCTGCCCGGACCAAATTTGCATAATTTGGAGTTTAAAATGTACCTAATTTAGTATTTCAGGATCCTCGCCGGTGTATGGAGTTCGTGCACTGCGTTGAAATTTTCGGACTCAGACTTGATTTAGAAATAGAACGAATCCCTTATGGGTTTCTGCCCTTGTTCCATGATGATCTGTTGTTTAAACCTTATACTGATACTAGTGATAGATATGATATCTGATATCACTGATGTGATAACATACTAGTATTACTAGTGATAGTGATACTGATTCTGGTAGGCTACAATATAACCTCTGCCTCTGCAGCATTCAAATGTAATTTGAATGATTGATGAATTTTTACTTCATTATTTAACAAGAATAGATACTTTAGATACGAAATCACAGAAACTGAAACTTGAGAAACAATTATACCGATATCGAAAACAGTAATTCCCATTAATATTATTGCATTCTTTGTGAAACTGCTTCCAACAAGTGTCCCACGTCAAGTAAAATCAGAAACGAGAAAAGAACGTTGGCAGGTTTCTCTTCTGTTGCTGCTGGAACCAAGAAATACACAGCCATCTCTTGTGTTGGAGGACATGTTAGGTCTACAACGTCATATTGTCGTTTCGGTTTATTTCTTCACCTAAATGAATGAATGAATCAAGAATTGACAGCACCGCACTTAGAACATTCCCTCACGTGCTTATGTTATGTTATCACAATCGACGTCACTGCACATTAGGCATTTCCATGCCTGCTGTCCTCCGATGCAGCAGCCACTCCGAGGTACTTCTACTAATTGTTCCCATGAGAAGCTGGTTATATTGTCTCCTATTTCGGCCTCGAAGATGACATAGACGTGTTTCACCATGCTTTACTCCCATGTCACGCAATCGTGTTAGTGTCAGGGATTTCTCATTATCCACTAGCCCAGTCCGTACAGCGTTGACGATATCTGCTGTGTCCATGTTTCTTCCCACATGCCTTAGTGCAATGCTTGCCAGTTGGTCCGCTCACTCATTTCCCTTTACGCCCATAACCAAGTGTGTAGATCCAGGTGAGGAAGGTTAAGTGCGATTTTCGAATGCTTTCTACCCATTCATATCGCATACCGTTATAATGTGAAGCTTGCTAATATACTTTTCGTTCGGTTTTATATCTTTTCTTGCTGTTTCTCTGTCCAGGCTTCTGCGACTTCAGGTGTCCACCACTGGGGTTGTTGAAAGATAGCTTTCTTCTTTCCCGGTGTTCTGCGTGACCTGTTTTGCAGACGCCCAATTACATCAGTCTGATGTGCAGCGTATTGGAAAGAAATGGCTGGTCTCTGATACCACTATGCTCCGTCCCCTTAGTAACCAACGAAGAGTTGACATGTTAATAGTACCAAATGCAGCCCGATTAAAAGTCTGTCTCTGTTTTCCCTCCAATGTTGACCATCTCCCGGAACCCCTACTCACCCTCTGTTGAATGAGTCTTTCAGTGTATGGATTACCTATCTGTTCTTCTGCACTGTTCAAGTGATCACATAGAGCCTTCACTGCATCCATTTTATCATACAGTAGTTCCTTGCCCAGAGGAGCGGCAGTGATCGATCAATCTACTGCTCGTTATCTCGCACACCTGAAGATCCTGAACAGAAAATCCACATGCTCTTATTCTGGGCCACGGCCTTCTCTATTTAGAATCTAGAGAAGGTGGTGTCTGGGCATTATTAAGTGATGCAAGCCACTTTGCGCGCAGAACACAAGTTTCAATTTTTCGAAGCATACTCCATGAGCTTGTTATATCACAACATATCGGACTGTGCTGTTCTCAAGCCACCGGGAAGCTGCTGTTACCGCCGCCACCTCCAGTCTCATACAGGATGTGATGACGTCTTAAGCGAGACTCTGTTTTCAAGCAATACATACTTCTCCCATTAATCTTTTTTAAACGTA